AACTTAATTGTAACATATCATGTTGTTTAATAGTAACCCTAAATTGTATCTTCTAAATTTAGTTGCCTTTTTTGTAGTATTTTAATGGTCATTAGTAGTTTTATATTTATTGACTACCACTATAATAATAATAATACTTTATTTATTCTGGGACGTATTATATTATATATTATATTATATACGTATTATATATTAGGAACGTAGCGTATTTTAAACAGAGCTAAAGCTTAAAGCTTATAGTCCGGAATCTACTAAAGATTTAACCACGTGATTAGCGGCAGAAGGTTTGAAAATTGAAGACAGTAGAGATTATAACCCTACTGCTAAAACTTTTCGAGTCAGACGGCTAACTGGAAGCGTTTGGCTGTGGTGACGCAAATTTCAAAAATCGCGAAAACTGCAAAAATTACGTAATCAGGAGCACGAAAAAAACAATTGGAATAGTTTCAGACAACTCAGTAGGTGACAGATTTATAAAAGTCAGAGAAAATTTTGGAAGCTTTATACGAATCTGACATATTAAAAAATCACAAAAATTACATGGTCAGGAACAGGTAAAAAACAAGTTGGAATAGTTTCGGACCACTTTGTAGGAAACAGATTTAATAAAGTCAGACAAAATTTTGGAAGCTTTATACGAATCTGACAGATTTAAAAATCTCAAAAAGTCCCATAAATTACGTGGTCAGCAGCAGGATAGATCAGTTAGAATACTTTCAGAGCACAGTAATTTTATTAAATTTGAATAATTTTATTGGAAGCTTTTCACGAATCTGACATGCAAATTTGATAAAATTACCAAAAAATATGTGATCAGCATCAGGCAAAAACCCGTTGGAATAGTTTTATACGACTTACTAATTTGATAAAATCTGACAACAGTTTGGAAACTTTTCACGAATTTGAGAATCAAAAAGTTTCAGACTCTTTTGCAGGAATCTGATTTATAAAATCTGACCAATATTTAGAAACCTTTCGAGAGGTTGTATTTATTACAGGCGGGGCAGTATATCACAAATTGGATCGGTTGGTCCAAGAGTTTTCATGTTGCCTATTATAAAAAAAAATTAATGACACACAAATCTATGTTATCGTTTATCTATGTTATTATTATTTTCATTCTTTATTCTCGCTTTGCGGAGTAAGTTTCTGAGGTGGGAGACCAGAAGTCCAGCCACCTTCATATTAATATCTATTGTTTTTAGACGTTTACAAATTTTCGGACGATGCGTGCTGTGTCCAAGAGAACTGAGTGTTGAGTCTCCTTCAGCACTTCAAGAGGTAATTTTAATCCCATCGTGCCTGCCACTGTTATCTTTGGTATCAATCCATTGGAGGGTATTATAATTGGAGTGGTGGTGACGTTCCCCAAATGATAAACGAATTCCTTCAGTTCGATTGCGAGTTCCTGGTATTTTCTCAGTTTTTCTCCAACAGTGGAGCTTATATTACTATCATTGGGGATCCCGACATCAATAAGCTCTGCTCTTTTCTCTCTCATATCTATCAGAAGGATGTCTAGTTTATTGTGACGCACAGTATGGTCAGTTATAATCGATTCATCCCAGTAGAGCTTGAGACTGCCTTTTTGGAGGAGTTTATTTGGGTAGTACTTATAATATGGAGTTTTGCCATCTAACAAGTTGAGCTTCACCGCCAGAGCCTGATAAAAAATTCTAGCCATATTGTTATGCCTCTTGAGATACTCGGTGCCAGCCAACACTCCACACCCACCTGTGACCATTGATTCCAGCGTCGCTGAGCATAATCGACATTTATCCGTAGTTGTTGCGTCTTTAAGAACATGCCTTCTATATGATCTAGTAGCAATAACTTGGCCTTGGATGGCGAGCAGAAATCCTTCTGTCTCGGAGAATATCTTTCCAGCTTTCAGCCATTCAATGGATATTTCCTTGTCAATCGAGCTATCATTTAATTTGCTGTAGAATCTTCCATGCAGAGATTTATTTTTCCATTCTGTCAAGCGTTCATTTTCTTACACGATTGTAAAGACCTCACGATTGCTCAGGTTAAGTGCGGTTAGACCATAATCCAATATTGAGATTGCGAGGTAAACCTCAGTTGTTTTTGTAAGAAAGTATCGGCGTAGGGCCGCTTCCTGCTTGCGGCAAGCTTCTTCGATATTTAGCAAACCACGTCCTCCTTCTTTCCAAGGCAAATACAGGCGAGCTTTGAAGGATATTGGATGGTGGGTCCGTTCTTCTGTGAGAGTCGTTCGCACAAGGCGGTCGATCTCTTGTAGGCTGGTGTTTGACCAGTGCAATATGCCGAAAATATAACCGAGAGCAGGTATTACCCAGGTGTTAATAGCCTTGATTTTTTGTTTCCCGGTTAGCTGGGTTTTGGGCACTTTCCGCAATCTAACTTTGAACATCTTGAAGGTCTTGTTGCATGACATTTCTTGCAATTTTAAGATGTTGTTGCATTCCCAGATATTTATATAACCTATTCTCTTCAAGCTCCCTGATGTACTCTTTTTCATTGATTAGAATATTCTGCATACTAACCACCTTTCCATGGAGCACCGCACTATTATTATGTTATTATTATTAATTATAGTTATGTTATTTATTATTTATTATTTACGTTAAGAAAATGTAGTTTTTTTTAATATTTTATATTTCATAAAATTAAACCATTTCATCCCACAAAAATATCCAACACCATTCACAGATTATCTTCACGCTAAGCTCCTGGACATGACCTTATCACATTTCAAATCTTAAAAAATTTTCCTCGAAAAGCCATCCTATTCCTTACTTGTATATACATTGCTGTGCTCCGAACCACATATTTCCCTGATCCTTGAAAACTATCAATTGTCAAAGTGATCCACAGACTTAAAAATCCATCTGAATACTCATCCTCTTACTGTCCTATCTCTCTTTTACCAATCCTGGGCAAAATCCTGGAAAAACTAATTTTAAAACGTCTGTACTCCATCCTAGATTCTAATAATATAATTTCTGATCACCAATTTGGATTCCGAAGATCCCATTTCACTATCCAGCAATGTTATCGTGTGATAAACGTAGTCTCCTCTGCATTGGAGCGCAAAATGTACTGTACGGGAGTCTTTCTCGACGTTGAACAGGCGTTTGATAGAGTCTGACACCCGGGACTGCTGTACAAACTTCGCGAATTCCTATCACCTACATACTTCCTCGTTATCCGTTCATACCTTACTGATCGATATTTCAAAGTAAATCATAATAATGCATGTTCTTCCAGTCTAAAGTCCTTCGAACAATAGTTGATGCTCCTTTCTATGTAACCAACAAAACCCTACAACATGACCTCAACATCCCATTTGTCCTAGACCTTATCCCAGAAAAATTCTCCAAATTTCACCAGAACCTTACTTACCACCCAAATCCTCTTGCACAATCTCTATCAAGCACCTCCCATCCCTATAATCCTCCAAGAAGGTTGAAACGGCAGTGGCCTCGCGACCTTTTGTAGATTGTATAAATTGGAGTTCTGGCAATGGCCAGATTCTTCACTCAAGACATGAGTGTATGTGGCTAAAGTGCTCTCGACCAATCTCCGCTGGCTTTAGTACCAGTGACGCGGTTGGGAGAGTAGCGCAGGGTTCTCCTGGAGTTTCCTCGCCTGATTGTATATAGGTATGCATGTTCTTAGTTTTAATTTTCTTATTTTTTAGGTTATTTTATTTTATTGTGTATTGTATATACTTTTGATTATTATTTTGTTCTATTTATTTTATTTTTTTGTACATATAGTGTGAATGTCATCCTACCTCCCTATAACCAATGTCCAACAGACAGATTGTTACAATACTCAATAAAGAAATTAAAAAAAAAAAGAATAATAATGGTTCGTTTTTCAATTTTTTTTTCTCTAATCTTTCTTACCCAATCACATTTTGATTATTAAAGGTAAAAAATATTATAAAATTTCATAAATACTAAATATTATCTACAAATACCATGTATTATATACAAATACAACTTTACAGAAATATTTTTAGATGAAAACATCAAGTGGGTGGAATGTTTTGCCTGTCAGTGTATATTTTTACTTTAAATGGGTCACAAACAGACTATCTAATTTTAGAAATTCCTAAGGAAAGGTTCATTTTAAAGTCGAATTTGTGAAATTTATTGCTGAAGACCGAAAACCCCAAGAACGTCGTCAATAAATTGGGTAATCTTCATTTGGTGGCGGCTAATGAGGAACTTACTATTCTCTAAAAACAGATGCATAACTATTGAAACTGGGATTGCTCCTATTTCAACTATAAATTGTTATCGACTTAGCCAAAGCCTTGCCAGCTTTTCATCTTTAGACAGGGTCTGACTTCACATTTACCTCTTGACGTAAAGAAAGGACAAAGGTCACTACAGTTTATCTTTTCTTTACGCCATGATCGTACGTCTATAAAATAAATATAAAACTAAATTATAAAAAAAACTCATGATTAATCGAAATATTTTCAAAACTCGGCTAATTTGAGAGAATTCCAGAAGAAAATATCTTAGAACTAGAAGAATATATCTGCCTTCTGAACGGACAACAAGGTTGCACAAATATAAATAAAGCTAAGACAATTTTTTTCCTGAATAGATAACTTATATCCTATATTTAACGTGTTATTGTAGTAAATTGAATTTAATATATAGTATTCACTATTTTTTTCTATTTAGGTAGTGGATGGATCATTTTTGAAAGTAATCACACTCCATTCTGGTTTTATGGGTTTCTATTCAATCAGCACATTCACTAGACATCAGCTTCTTTCAGGCGTTGCTACCATCTCTTCACTCTCTTCGTCCCTCTCTACTCTTTGTTAACACTACATTCATTTACTTTCAAAATAGAGCAGATAGGTTTTGATCAATCACAAAGAATTTTATCCCTTAAACTAAAACTAAAATTTATACATGTTTTGGTGGATATGTGAGGCTCAGTTATTTTAAAAATTATTATTTTAATTATGTGTTTTACGAAACAGTTTATCATATTTGGTTCCTTACCCTACTTCGCAACAGATAAGGTGACGGAACTTCTGACCTGCCTTGCTCTTCAGAATCTGGATACCAGTTTAGGTCTTCACCAATGTCGTCGACCTGGTGTTCATCTTCACTTTCAGACGACTCCCCTGCGGATTCTATATTTTCATTATATATCTGCGTGTACTCTTGGTTGTTCATTCCGCTAATCTAACTATTATCGGAAACCTGCACGAACTATTATCGGGGCACCTGTAAGGTATAGCCCTGTATCGGTTCTTTTATTATTGAGATTTCAGAACCACTATTCACCAATAGTTCGCGGCGCTGTCCCTTAATGTTAACTATCTGCAATATTTCCTTTTTACCAAAAGAGGAAACCTTAGGAGCAATGTGATTGGCCCAGTTTCTGGTCGGGCTTACGATGGCGGGGCACACATCGAGCCCGTGGCTTTGGGGAAATTTCTAATCTCTTCGCTAGCTTTAACAGCTGTGATAGCGCATCTCGGGCAGGCTCTGGCAAAGGGGCCCTTAGAACCGCAAACAAAACAACTCGATCGATTAAAATCTTTCTTTTGTGGATTGGTTGGCCTAGGACATTCTCTTGCGAAGTGGCATGTTTTATGGCATCGGTAACATTTTTTTTTCATATATAGGGGATCTCAGATCTGACCGGTCGTTAGAAGATGGTTCCCGCCGAATAGCCCACATCTCTTCGCCTACTCTTGCCACCTTATTTACGGCTCCCTCAAACGTTGGTGTTGGGTCAAACAGGAGTTTTCGCATAATATCTGGACCCTTTAAAAATGCAGCCGTAACGATATTTTCGTAATGACATCTATCCCAGCTGGCATCTTCTACTGACAACGATTTTGGAGTTGCTCTCCTATTCTAACCTTCGGCACTTATCGGAGTACTCCGAAACGTTAGTTCTCTCTTCTCTCTCTCTCTATCTCTGTAACTGCTGGAAAAAGCGGACATAAATGGTTGAAGTCTTTGGTATTTTTGTACGTTATTCAGATTTATATTAGTTAGTAAATTTTATATCAGCTTTAGGTTAGTCCGTAAGTTCTTGTTGTTTAGTTATAAATAGTTAAGTTTAGATTACTCCTTAGATTAAGTTTTATTAATTATCTAAATCAAAACCTTCTCCTTTCAAGTCACCCTTGCATCAGCATATTGCCCTCCTAACAGATCCATATCCAAAGACCAGTTTAGTTCTCTCCTCAACTCCTTAGGTCATCATTTCATCATGCGTGCAGACGTAAATGCCCCATAGGTCCCCTCAATCATTCCCCTACCCGTCTTGACGAACTTTCCTCAGATCATAGTCCATTAATACTTCAATTATAAATAGCTCCTATTCCTAAACCCCCTTCACCGTCCTTCATCAGAGGCCCAGTTAACTGGAAACTCTTTCATCAAATCCTTTCCGATAAAATTGACCTCAGAATAACTCTGAAAAGCCCAGAAGACCTCGATAATGCCATAAATTCCTTTACCACCACTATTCAGCAAGCAGTCTGGACTGCTTCCTCTCCAAATTTCTCCTCGAAAATTCCTAAGAAAAATAATTTACCTCAGCACCTGCTAGATCTAGTTCATATCAAACGCCGTGCCCGAATATTATGGCAACGTTCAAGATACCCCACTGATCATCGCTCTTATAATTATTTCACTAAACAATTAAAGCAGGAATTGGCCATCTTCAAATCCCAATCCTTCAACTCCTACCTTACTTCCCTCTCTGTTCACGACAATTCTCTATGGAAGATCACCAACAAAATCCTTAAATCCCATCATATTTCGCATCCCCTCCGTCGATGCGATGGCTCCTGGGCAGCGTCTGATGAAGACAAAGCTGAGGAATTCGCCAGACACCTCTCCAGAACATTCACCTCACTTCCGGAATCCAACCCCATCCATACCATAACAGTAGAAGAATTCCTTACATCACCCATTCCACTCTCCTTACCCCCTGAAGCAATTAATCCTTCTGTGGTCAAACATCACTTACAAAAACTTCCTCTCCGTAAATCTCCTGGATACAACCTCCTTACCTCTCAAATCCTTCGACAACTTCCTCCCAAAGGTGTTATATTTCTCACTTACTTATATAATACCATCCTTAGAACCACCCACTTTCCTCTTTTGTGTCTACATTCCACTATTATCCTGTTTCCGAAACTAGGCAAATCTCCCAACATCTCTACGTCCTACAGACCAATTAGCCTACTTCCAATCCTCTCCAAAATCTTTGAAAATGTCCTCCTGAAACGAATCCTATCTTTTATAGAATCCCAAAATCTTCCTTCCCATCAATTCGGATTTCGCTCACAACACTCCACAGTCCAACAATAACTCCGAGTGGTCGATCATATTTCCGCAGCACTGGAAAGCAAGCAATATTGCTTGGGTGCTTTTCTGGACACAGCTCAAGCTTTTGACCGGGTATGGCACGCCGGGCTTCTTTCCAAGCTGAAAACCTACCTACCCCAGTCCTTGTACCTAATCCTCCGCTCCTACCTCTCTGATCGAACCTTTCGGGTTCGCTGTGGTTCAGAATTTTCCAACTCCTACCTAGTTGAAGCCGGTGTTCCTCAAGGTAGCGTCTTGGGTCCCGTCCTTTATATCCTTTTTACCGCCGATATCCCTGTCCATCCCAATACCTTCCTGGCAACATTTGCTGATGACAACGCCATCCTCCAACTCAGATCCCGAAATAGCATCTTTAAATCTGCAAAGGAACCTCTCCACGATTGAGCACTGGTGTACTAAATGGCGAATCAAAGTAAAAGAATCCAAATACAAACACATTACCTTCACACTCCGCCGCAGATCTTGTCCATCAGTCCACTTTAATTCCATCCAGCTTCCTTTTTCAGACACAGTCCGGTGTCTTGGCTTTATCTTAGACCGAACACTAACGTGGAACCCACATACTAGACTTAAAAGACAAGAACTTTACCGACGATACGGCCAATTATACAGACTACTGACCAGAAAACTTTCAAGTCAACTTTCAATTGACAACAAATTACTGATCTACAAGACAATCCTGAAACCTATTTGGACCTACGGACTTGAACTTTGGGGGACAGCAAAATTCTCTAACATCAAACGCATCCAATCCTTTCAATCCAAAGTCCTCCGAACAATAGTCGATGCTCCGTTCTATGTAACCAACAAAACCCTACATCATGACCTTAATATCCCATTTGTCCTTGATCTTATCCCTGAAAAATTTTCAAAATTCCATCAGAACCTTATCAATCATCCAAATCCTCTAGCCCAATCCCTATCTAGCTCCACTCATCCCTACAAACCTTCTCGAAGGTTGAAGCGGCAGTGGCCTAGAGATCTTTTATAGTATTTATTTTGGAGTTCTGGCAATGGCCAGATTCTCCACTCAAGACATGAATGTATGTGGTTAAAGCGCTCTCGCTCAAACTCCACCGGCTTTAGCACCGGTGAGGCGGTTGAGAGAGTAGCGCTGGGATTTGGGTTCCCCGCCTGATTGTATATATTGTATATAGGTGTGACTGTTTTTATGTTTTTAATTTACTGGTATTTAGGTTATTTTTTTTTTTATTGTATATAGTTTTTATTTAGTTATTATTTTACTTTTGTTAATTTTTTTTTTCTTTTGGATATACGGTGTGAATGTGTTCATTTATCAATATAATTATTGTCCCTGTGACAGAATATTATATGTCTAAATAAATAAATAAAAAAATAAAAAAAAATTATCTAAAGTCTATTGTTTATTTAGAAATTTCATTGGACTTTTTATACTCTGTTCGTCTTAATTGTATACATCAATAATAAATGTTTTGATTTTGATTATTTATTAAAATAACATATGTTAGTTTGATAAAGTGGATACGTGAGGTTTTCACATGGTTGTCTATTTAAGCTCGCGTATACGGACGTTAAGACGATCATTATTACAATAATAAAAACTGAGGATAAAACTGAATATAGCATTGAACAAGAAACAGAATATGATTCCGCAGATGACTAGGACAACTTAGATTTTTTCACTTTACTTCTAGTAATTTTTATAAACGAACTTATAATATTTTGGTAATGTAATAGAAATGTTAAGGTCATTTTGGTTAATATAAACGTCATCTCTGTTGTTTTTTTATTGATTATTTTATACAGCATAGTGTGCATAAACTGGTACATTACAAGCATGATTACGTAATGAAATGATATAGATAACTTTATCATATACAATATGTAAATAAATAACTAGCATTTTATGAAATATTTTTTAAAATTTATTTAATGAAATTTACAACTATATAAACAATACAACTAGTAAAAATACACACATTAGAAATCATGACATGAACAGATTTGAAGAGATACTGCCCAGTGGTAGCACTCCCTATTTAATTCTAGGTGAGAAGATCACCAGGACATCTTCTTTTTAGACGCCTAGGGGGATTATCAGGAATCGAGGAAGAAGCAAGGCTGGAAACAAGTGGGTACGGATGGGACTGGAGTTTATCATGAAAGGATAGTTATCTGGCTCGGGCTAAATTAGTGGCTTATGGAATATTAAGGTGTTTATGAATGGTTTTATTTTTGACAAAATATGGATTTTGGATTGTAAGGATTGGATAAGATAGGAATTCGATGGTTTCGTAGAGCCCCAAATCTCAACTCCGTATGTCCTTATAGGTCTTATTATGGTTAAGTAGATGGGTCTTTTGTAATTAATTGAAAGTTTAGAGCGTTTGTCTAGTAAGTGTTGGAGCAGTCGGGAACGTCGAGCAGTTTCTTGTCATTTCAGTCTAGTATGCGGATTTCAACAAGTGGAATATCATTGAAGGATATTATAAGACAAGAAGTTGTAGGTTTACGACGAAGGGTGGAGGTAATTTGTTGAGATTTATTGGAATTTATTTTTATTCTCCAGTTATGACACCATTCTTCAAGGTTTGTGATATGTGATTGGAGAATTTGGGATGCAATTAAAGGGTCATTATTACCAGATAGGATACAAGTGTCATCTGTATAGGGGGTAATGTCCGTGTTGGGATATCAGCTGTATAAACTGTATAAAGGATAGGACCGAGGATGAGTATTCAGATGGATTTTTAAGTTTGTGGATCACTTTGACAATTGATAGTTTTCAAGGATCAGGGAAATATGTGGTTCGGAGCACAGCAATGTATATATAAGTAAGGAATAGGATGGCTTTTCGAGGAAAAATTTTTAAGGTTTGAAATGTGATAAGGTCATGTCCAGGAGCTTAGCGTGAAGATAATCTGTGAATGGTGTTGGATATTTTTGTGGGATGAAATGGTTTAATTTTATGAAATATAAAATATTTAAAAAAACTACATTTTCTTAACATAGATAATAAATAATAAATAACATAACTATAAATAATAATAATAGTGCGGTGCTCCATGTAGAATATGTATACAACTGAACATAAAATCTTCTCAAAATTACTTAATTGTGATGAAAAAAAAAAGAAGAGAAATTACATATTTATATATACATAACTACACAATTTATAAACAATAGGCTATCTAATAGAAAACTAACTTAATACAAAATGTAATAATGTCTACAGTGGTTTATATAATAATATGCAGACACTAAGATAAAATAAAATCTTAGGATACTTGTGGTGTAATGGAAAAAATAAAAATAAAAGGAACTATTTATACGTACATTCTCATATTGGCACACATAAAGACAAAAATATAAAATATAAGCATATATACCCGAAAGAAAAAGCATACCAAAGGAGAAGAGAAAAA